ACCATACAGTCTTTAACCTGTTCATCCTGTTTCAAATCTTAATAACAGTTTATATATTTTAGCTACTATATGATCATCATTTTACATAACTCTACTTCAGTTTTCCTCTTCTCAATTCTAATTGTCCTTTTGTCCATCTTAAACCTCTCTTTCATCTGTTTATAAGAAAACCATTGAAAAGAATGTCCTTCAGTCGCTAATTGTTCTCTTGTCTTCATCTTAATTTGTGTAGCCTTTTCTAGTGCTTGTCAGCATGGTTGTTTGGAGAAAATGTCTCACCATTAGCAAATCAGTCTTTTGCAGAGACTTCTCTTCATTAAAAAAAAATCTGCTTTTTAGTTTTTGCAATAATACTGTTTATTGTTCCCTTGTGCCTTTTACCCTTGTCAGCATTTTAAAGTGTTCATAAGATGTATTTTTCACTTATTTATTATTCATTTTATTCTATTTGTATGTCACTTCATCAGCCAACTCTAGGTGGCTTATGACAGATAAAGACAAGGACATAAATCCATTATAAATCAGAACAAGTATCTCTGAGCAACATCTCTGACTGTTCACCTGCAGGTTCCTCAGTTATTATCAGTAATCTCTCCCCCCTCTCGTCTGTCTGGAAAAGCATGGCTTTTCAAAAAAAAGAATAAGAACGGGGCCATTCCACCCTCAGGTCAAGCTATTCCAGAGCAAGATAGCTGTGACTGAGAAAACCAGCTTCTGAAATCCCACCCCTTGAGCATCCGGGTGTGGGGGGACAGATTGTACCTGGAACAGGTATACCTGAGATATACATGGCTTTATAGATAATTAGACAACCTGTGACCCATTGGGTCATCATTTCAGAGATATTTCCTTATTTAAACAGAGAAACAGTTACCACAGGCGGGCAAAAAAGCAGTGGGAGTGGGAACGACTTCTGACTTCCTGCTGGCTTCCCCATTAATTTCCCTTGTGGGAAGCTGGCAGGGAGCGTTGGAAATGACTTTGTCAAATTTCAGTCTCACAGGAGTAATGGGTCCTGGCCACAACTTTACCAAATTTCAATCCCCAATATGGTGCCGTCATCACCTCCGAAGCATTCACACTTCCTGCCAGCTTCCCCATTGATTTGTGGGAAGCTGGTAGGGAGCATTCTTCTTTCCACATACAATATAGGCTGGTGCCATTTCCCCTCCCCTCACAACCCTCAGTAGAGCCCCGGTGAAGCCGCTGCCCCCGCCCCCTCGGCTGACCCGCGGAACTGCCTGTCACTTTCCTGAGGGGAGGGGAACCAAGGGAACCATGGACTACGAGGAAAACTGCACCCCTGCTCTCCATTCCGGTGTGTCCCCAAGGGCCACCTCCAGAGAGGAAGAAGGCTCACCCATTGACTGCCAGTGGCCCCCCAGCCAGCCCTGCCTCACCAGCAGGCATCTGAGTTGCTCCCTCCTTCCCTCACCACCCACCGCCATTAAGCAATTTCAAATTTCAGCCTCAGTTCCAAAGCAACCGATTGCCACTCGTCCATCAGGCCTTGCTGCCAGCCAATTGGGTGCAGGGGCCAGAGGGAGGCAGGAAAGATTTCAGGGACATGTTTATGATGATCACGTGACCTTGTCTGACCATGGCAGTGCAGCAGTACAGCCATGCTGAAGCGGCCACAACTTTGCTAAATTTCAGTCCCGTGGGAGTAATAGGTCCTGGACCTTGGATGCCATCTGTAAGTTAGCACATTTGAGGTACTTGGGTTGAATAATTGTTGCCCTATGATGCACTGTTTCGCTCAGTTGAAGGTTAGAAACTGACAGACATGAGAGTTTTAGTAGTATATAGATGACTAGCACTTTAAATTAGACCCCGAAGCCTATTGATGGTCAACACACCTTCCATAAGTTCACTGTTGTCCTGCTGCAGAAGCTTCCACTGGTCAACACTTAGCGACTGCATTCTGCACTGGCTGTAGCTTCTGAATTGTCTTCAGAGTAGAGCCAGTAGAGCAGACTACAGTAAACCAAGGAAAAGTTGTTAAAGGCATGAATTACTGTTCCTGAACCTCTCGGTTCAGGTTACAGCAGTGCACCTGAAGCTGAGCAAAATCCAGGGTTTTCCACCTGCTGCTTCACCAGGAGCCAAAAATCCAGGAAGAATCTTTCAGAGGTAGCATAACCTCATATTGAGTCAAAGATGGAACCAGAAGGCTTTTGTGTAACTGCAGCTTTGTCTTGCTGGTATTCAGTGTTAGCCTATTCCACCCCATCCAGACCTTTGCAGGCCACCGCTGAATGTAGTCTATAATATAATATAGGTAAGGTAATGTAAAGTAAGAATATATAATATAATATAATATAATATAATATAATATAATATAATATAATATAAACAACATAACAGTACTATATGGGACTTCCTTTGGAGATTACTCAGAAGCTACAGCTGGTAGAAAAAAATAGAATAACACTTGTTTTAAAGTCCCTACATTTGGTTACCAGTCAACTTCATGGTCCAGCCAAATGTGCTGGGCATTATATTTAAAGTCCAGCAGCACCAAGTTATATTAGGCAATGAATAGAATCTGCCTGCTTGGTTAGATTATTGTGAGAGGGCCTGCTGAGAATCCCCCACTTTCTGAGGTACATGGGGTGGGAACAAGCAGGCCTTCTTGGTAGTAACCTCCATGTTATGGAACTCCCCCCCCCCCTTCATTTGTTTTATTTATGTGGCTACCCATCTCAAACAAGTGAGTCTGGGTGGCTAATAATTAAAACCAACAAAACCCCAAAATAAATACATAATCGGCAGCCAAGATAAAAACAACAAACATCAACATAATCACTTCACAAGTTCAAATTGATGCTCCCACTTTCAGCCACATCTTCAGGGCCCTGTAAAAGACCAACAGGTCAGGGCCAATCTGATCTTGGGGTGGGTGGGTGTTGTTCCACAGGGCAGGGGCCTTTGCAGAAATGGCTCTCTTCTTGGCCCCCACCAGATGGCACTCTGGTGGCCAGGACACGTAACGTGCCTCTCCTCCTGGGTCCGATAGGGCAGACACACACAACGGGGAGAGGCAGTCCCGCAAATAACCTATCCCCATGCAATAAAGGGCTTTATAGGTGATCACCAGCACCTTGGATTGAACCCAGAAGCATCTGGCAGCCAATGCGCCTTGTGGAGCAGGGGTCTAAGACTCGTGGCTTGAGAAACACAACAGCTGCTGCATGTTGTATCAGCTGCAGCTTCGGAGTTCTCTTCAATGGCAGCCCCACGAAGAGCGCATTGCAGTCTTGTACGCAGGAGGTGACTAAACCATGAACTTGGTCCAGGAAATGATGCAGTTGGCACACAACCCAAAGCTGTGCAAAAGCCCTCCTGGCCGTAACTGTCACCTGTTCCTTGAAAAGGAGCTACATGTTCAGGAGGACCCCCAAATTGTGCATCAGTTCTGTTTGGGATAGTGCAACCCTATCCAGAACAAGAGATGGAAAATCCCTGGGATCGGGGATCTAAAACCCAAAGCCATTCAATCTTGCTAGGGTTCAGTTGAAGCCTGTTCTGCCCCATCCAAACCCTCCACAGACTCCAGACACCAAGACAGAACTCCCACAGCATCATGTAATTGGCCTTGGGTGGAGCCATAAAGCTCACCCCATGCCATTGGCTTTCTTGCCCAGTGGCTTCATGTAAATGGGGAGTGGAGAGAATGCAGAGGCCTTGGGCAAGACCTCTCCCTCTCCCACCATTAACCCTGAATGGAACTGGCCCCAAGGAAGGAAGAGAACCAATGCCATCCACTCCCAACCCTGAAGCCAGTCCAGAAGTCCATGATCAATAGTATCAAAAACTGCTGAGAGACCAAGAAAAGCAAGGATGAATGCGCCACCCCCATTTCACTCCTGCCAGGGATCATCTACAGGTGTAATCAATACCATTTTGATCCCATGTCCAGGTCTGAAACCCAACTGGAAGGGGTCCAAATAATCTGCTTCATCCAGAGTTCTTTGGAGTTGCTATGCAACTACTTTCTCAACAATCTTTCATAAAAGGGAAGGTTGGAGATAGAATTAAAACTGCCTAGCACAGTAGGTTCAGCAATGGCTTCTTTTGGGCATGACAGGGCAAACCCCTTTCTCAAGGAAGAATTGACTACTGCCAGAACTACAAGTCACCTCCTGGGAAGTCTTAGCAAGCCAAGAGGGACATGGGTCTAATAGGCAGGTGGCTGAGCTAGCAGTCCCAAGACCCCTGTCCATTTTATTAGGAGTAACAGGTTCAAGCTCTTCCCAGATAACTCAGCCAGAATGAGCCTCAGTCATCTCCATGGGAGCTGCCTCAAGGCCAGAGTCCCACTTGGAATGAACCCAAGCAACTTTATCGAACAGATGCTGAGCATATTCCTCACAGTGGCCCTGCAAGTGAACCTCGGAATCGATTCTCCCCAAGAGGGCCTGAGTTCCCTTGAACAGGGCTACTGGGTGGCTATCTGCAGACACAACAAGGGTGCAGAAATATTGATGTTTCACCACCTTACCATCACAAGCTAGTCCCTAATAGTAGCTCTATTGCTAGTTTTAACCTGCTTCCAAAAAGCCAGGAGGGTAGAGGCTGTGTTAATTATATTGGTTTTGTTCTGTGGTGAACAAAGTCGTCTGAAAAATAAATATGGCCTTCAAGAATATAATAAAATTACAATAAGACATCCGTGATATAAAATTAAACATAAAATCAAGCAGTACAATTTTAATAATAAACCAGTAGTTTTTATACTCCATTGGCTCTCTGGAACAATCCAATTTTTAAAAGGGTACAGAAACCCAATAATGGAGGGGGGGGCAATTTCTTTCTCAGTGGGAGGTGGTTCCCCAGACTGAGAAGTCGTAATTGGGTTAAGTCATCCTATTTCTCTTGGATAGTATCTTTTGGTATCTGCACAGTTGAATAGGTTGCACATCTGTCAAGAAAATGGAAGAAATTCCACCTTGGTGTGATTATTTGAGACCTTTAAAATCCACAGTTGAGCAATACCTTTACGTGACCAACTGGAGTAATGCTCATGAGGTTTAACATTCTCCAGAAATTTCATCAGATGAGGATTATAAAAAGTTATGAGTGGGGGAAAAGCAGAAAAGAGGAAGGGCCAAAAGATGTTTTGGGCTCTGAAGTCTACCACTTAAAGTCTCTGTCTCAGGATGAAGACGATAGACTGGATGCATTAGCCATTGGTAGGGTGTTTCAGCTACAAAATCTTTCATTCTGTGACAGTAATACCATATGAGATACCATATGCCTGTTTTGAAATCATAGAAACAGATAAAGCATCCCCAAATGGCCACATTGGCATATTCCGGGCAAAAAATGACAGGTTTCAAGGAACACTGGGACTTTCCTGGAAGGAGGTTTCCACACAGCCACCCTGGAGTTTGGCACAGAGATGTATGAAATGTTCTCTTGTCTTTCAGGTGTGCCACTTTCCACACAATGGGGACCTCAAGGCTACTTTTATCCCATCCAGATTGCCCAATATGGGCTCAGCCATTACAGCAAAAATCTGACTGAGAAACCTCCACACATCGAAGGGTACGAAACAGCGGAAGACAGGGAGCAGAGCAGCCAGCCAGGCAAATGGATGGTTCCCAAAGGCTGTTTTGTCACAACACTGCTGGACAAATCCAGATTGACAAACGTCAAGCACTTTGTTGTCCCTGGTGAGTCAGTGTAAGGCAAGTGGACAGCAAGTTGCCTTTCCTTTGTGTAAAATTTGGGGATTCCTGGTTTACAGTTCTCATTCTGGGGGCCACCAAGACAAAAGGGATGTACCCAGTTTCAGGCAATGTAACTGGATGTCTCTGCCCATCCCCACCCCAGCATTCCCAAATTATTGAACTCCCATGAGATGTTGGTGTTTGTCTACAAAAAGCCACCTGAGACTGCCAAAATCTTCCAAGATTTCTGTGAATTTGAATGCCCCTGATTTAGCATTGCACATACCTGGGCTCCAAGCTAATCTCATGTTGAGGAAGTCATGTGCAGTTTGATTTCACTGTGGCTTGGACAGACAGCAATTCCCCGTAACACCCCTGGAAGGCCAAGTGCTATAGAAAGAATGCATCGCTTGTCCAGAGATGTCCCCTTATGATAATATTGGGGTTGGAGTAGAGGGAGGGAGCAGTGCCGGACCAGAAAGAGCTACGGGGAGCAATGCCAAATGGAAATGAGGCAGGCAGAAAAAAGACAGCTTTTCAGGGCTGAGGGTGGAACCTAAAAGATGTGGGTAACGAGTATTGATGAGGCTGGGAAAGGGGACAGAATAACGTGAAGGCAGTGGAAGGGAGAGCTAAATTCATAGTCAAAGGCCAGAGACACTCATTTGAGCTGTGAGTTGGAAGACCCTAATGGCTCCGCTAGGGCCCTTGCCCTAGGGTTATTGCTGCCAGATTTATCAAACAGCCCAGCATCAGAAAATACTTCTTTTTTCAGGACTCAGATGTGTCCCATGAGCATTGGGAGGAATGGGTATGTTTCTGTATACATCAGCTTCCCTAATATCCAATTTTGTTTAATGATGAAAGGGAAAAAACTCCTACAGCAAAATTAATGATTGCAATCATTCCCCCTCCCATCCTTTGTATGAAAACAGCCCCATTAATAGGGACATGTTTTCCCAAGGTAATCAATAGCCATTAGAATTAATGAATCAATTACTTTAAAAGACAAAGACATTTTAGCCTCAAGCTGTACTCCCCGGGACAAAGCTGAGGTCTTTGTAGTAGAGAGGATACCCATGGGGGTGGGAGAACTTTTTTCTGAGGGACTGTCTTGTCCATTCTTCAAGAGCTGAGCAATAGTAGCCTGAACCCTGATCCCTGCCAGGTTGCCACGGGCAATGAGGCTTAAGCAATCCAAACTGCCCTTGGGGGAGCTTGAGATCGTGGTGGTCTGCTCTTACAGTTGCTTCAAAAGTGAGTTCTGACTTGTTTGCACTACTCTGCTGACTTTCCATTCAACACCCGTGGAGGCCTAGTGGCCCCAGACTCCCCCCAGTGATCAGGATCAGGAGCTCTGCAGCGCAAAGGGGCTCCTGCTGCAAAAGTTTTCCATCAGCTTAGCACTGCTTTCCTCAACTTGTTGGGAGATGTGGTCCAGCAATTGTTTCACTAGATGGGGTGTGGTCCAGCACATTGTTTGGTGAGAATGCCTAGCAAATAATCGTATAATAGAACCTGCAACAAAATACTGCCGTATGGAGTGCTGTCTTTCTCTACAGTGCTTTATTCCATTCTGCCCCCTTCAGTTTTCTGGTTCCCTAACAGCAGTCAGTGTTTCTTTGACATCTGTTTGGTATTTTTCTTCATATTGCTGCAAATCTGAACTTTTTCCTAACTCTGTATCTTTCTTCTGCATGGATAGTGGCCTTTTGGCTCTGTAGAGAGGCACTTGGAGATCTGCCATTGGTTTTGTCCTAGCAGTGCTGGTGCTGCTTATTATTGCTTACCCCAGATAAGCTTAATGAAATACAAGCCTTTGGCCTGATGTTCTTGATGTTTCTAATGTGTAATAATTAAGGTATTCAAGCTGACATGTTCATTTCACCCTGTTGATTGAAGGTCCCTGGGAGTTTGCTAGAACATGCATCTTGGCTGACCAGCTAATTAAGGGAACTATTTTTATTGGGTCAATTCTTCAGCATGCAGCAAAAACCCCTCACACTTTGTGACCTGACCATCTCTGTATTTCTTCATTCATTTCCCTTCAGAAAACTCCGAGGGAGCATCTCTCCAGCTGGGGAACACAAAGGACTTTGTTATTTCTTTTGACCTTAGATTTGTAACAAATGGGAGTGTTTCAGTGGTTCTTGAGACAACAGAGAAGAACCAGCTGTTTACAGTGCACTATGTCTCAAATACTCAATTGATCACTTTCAAGGACAAAGATATTTCCTATGGAATCGGGCCCAGGACCAGTTGGAGCACAGTCACACGAGATCTTGTAACTGATTTAAGAAAGGGTGTTGGACTCTCTAACACAAAAGCAGTCAAACAGACCAAAATCATGCCCAAAAGAGTGGTGAGGTTGATAGTGAAGGGAAAGGGCTTCATAGACAACATCACTATTTCAACTACTGCCCACATGGCAGCCTTTTTTGCTGCCAGTGATTGGCTGGTAAGGAACCAGGATGAAAAGGGTGGTTGGCCAATCATGGTAACCCGGAAACTAGGGGAAGGCTTTAAATCTTTGGATCCAGGCTGGTACTCTGCCATGGCACAAGGGCAGGCGATTTCCACCTTGGTCAGGGCTTATCTGTTGACGAAAGACTATACCTTCCTCAATTCAGCTCTCCGAGCAACAGCCCCTTACAAACTCCTCTCAGAGCAACACGGCGTGAGAGCTGTCTTCATGAACAAATACGACTGGTACGAGGAGTATCCGACATCCCCCAGCTCCTTTGTTTTAAATGGATTCATGTATTCTCTGATTGGGCTGTATGATTTAAAGGAAACTGCAGGTGAGAAGCTGGGGAAAGAAGCAAAGCTACTCTATGACCGGGGCATGGACTCCTTAAAGGCAATGCTCCCACTCTATGACACAGGGTCAGGAACCATCTATGATCTACGCCACTTCATGCTTGGCACAGCTCCCAATTTAGCCCGGTGGGATTATCACACCACCCACATCAATCAGCTCCAACTCCTGAGCACCATAGATGAGACCCCTGTATTTAAAGAGTTTGTCAAGCGATGGAAGAGCTATCTGAAAGGCAGCAGGGCAAAGCACAATTAAGCTGAGCTGATAACCAAAATCACATTTCCTCTGTCTGCTGTCCTTGGGAATTGCCATCTTTAAGTACTGCAGTGGAACTTTTGGAAAGTTGGTTTCTAAACTCATTCTGTGTGTGTGTGTGTGTGTGTATGTGTGTGTGCGCACGCGTGCGTACTTTTTTAAAAAATTACCGTTTTCAAAGAAGTGGTCCTTAAAACCCCTCTTTTTAATCGATTGCATTCCAGTGAATCAATACTTTAGAATTGGGAGGTGGCAGTAAAACAGGCATCCAGTGACAGGACTGAATCAAAGCTTAGTGAATTTGTTTACTTATCCACAGTGATCCATGATGATACTAACACAGAATATAATGTGTACTTCTGATTTCCCCCCCCCTCTTTTTAGAGAAAATCATTACAGGCTCCCTATTTTTGTTGCCTAGAATTTTGCAGAAAAATAAGAATCCATTTTTTTCTTTCCTTAAAAAAGAAAAAAAGGAATTCTAATATGTTTGAGGTTTTGTTTTTGTTTTAACTATGTAGCTTTACAGCAGAATTTTGTTTCCTCCAGAGTGGGTGGAATTTGTGCAGATTATTTTTTTTCCTTGTTGAAAAATGTCAGAGTGTTTTGTTTCTAGATTGAGGAATAAATCCAACAGTGATTTTGTTCATGTCTTTTAAAAATCTCTTGGGGATGAGACTTCTCCAGGAACTTTGGTGAAGCTCCTTGGAAGCAGAGAGGGCTGCAGAAGATGGCGGCCGTGTGTCTGTCCACCACTTCTCACTGGCCCCTTGTGAGGTTGGCACCAGAGGTTCCTGGTGGGATCGCTTCCACCTGCAAGCTTGAATGTTTTGTTCTGCGAGCACAACTACAAGCAGGACCAGTTGACTGCACAAAAATTGTGGCCATTTTGTCTGTGTCTCCCTTGTCTTGATCAACATTCTTCCACTGAATTTTGATCCTGTTATTTTTTTTTCATGTAAAACTTTTTTTTTTTAAATGTATGTGCAGTTTATTTTCTTGGGAAATTTGAACTGTTTCCTTTCAGTCTTGTATTGGTTGAAATACAATGTATATTATTTGGAGAAAAAATATCTTCTGATTTATAATGTTAGAACGACCACAGTTAGAATACCGCAAATGGGTTTGTTTGTTTTCTTTTTGCAGCCACTCTTGATCATGAAAGTGTGTTGAATGTTCTTTTTTTACTTTCTTAATTACATAATATGAATCAGGCATTCATAACTACTTGTTCTACGTTTTTCTTCTGCCTAGCTGATTTTCTAAATAGTGCTGGCTTCTTCTTAAACCTTATTGCTTGGCAACTATTTAAATCTCTGGTCCTTCTTAATTCTGACTAAGGACACAGTCCATGGAAGATTTCCACTGATATCTGGAATTCATTAGTGTATTGCCAGAGCAGTTCTGTGAAAATGACATGCCTCTCTATAGACACCCCGTATCACAGAACAACCTCTGTTCCTGCTAAACAGATTGATGGGACTTCCATTTGCGTGACTACTTAGAAGCTGAGGAAGAAAGCGAGTTAGGCAAGAGCCCACTCCTGCCTAGACATGCCATTCCCAGAGGTGAAGTCCTTTTCAGTCTGTATCTTTCAGTTGCTTATGTTATGAGCAGCTTTTCTGCATTTGGCTGTTTCTGTATATAGGTACGTGAATCTATAAATGATTTATACTTATAAGTCATGGGAAGGTGCCTGCCTGAGAATCAGCTTGAGATGTCTGGTAGATGTTGCAATGCCACTGGAAGATATTTTAGCAGATTGGTAGATCTTGACCAAAAACCAGTTTATGGGCAGTTCACAGTCCTTTCTAAAAGCTGTGTGAGCCTCAGTTTTCATGCAGCAAAACCAGATACATCTCAAAAACAATTTCTTTTCCTTCTCGTATTGCAAAATATATAGAAACACTAAAAGGTACATTTTAGTACTTTTTTAAAGGATACGAACACATTCTACATTTTCTTTTCATGTATGTTATAGCATCAACCTCTGTCGAAGAGCTACATTTGTGATCCTTTGAGCAGCTTCCAAAACACTTCCCAGTTTCCATCTTGCCTCATTTCAAACTTTTCCATGCAGAGGTAAAACAATATTTCCCATTTTTAGAAGTAACCCCCACCCCCCCAAACTTTAAAGCCTCTTGATTTTTAAAAATCAATTAAAATATTTAGAGGCATTCCCAGTATAGTTTCCAGACACAGTTTCTGCTCCAGTCCCCTGAATTCAGTCCAAAGAGAGCTGAATCTTTCTGAAGGTGCAGACCTCGGTAGCTCTGCATGTCATTCTTGGAGCAGAGAATTTGGGAGGAAGAATATATAGACTGCAAAGTGGAAGTTGTGGGTGTCGTATGCATGCAGAACTTCAGAGAGAGAGAGAAATTTCAGACTTACATAATACGTGTTAATAGTTACGGAGCTTAATCTCTTCTTACTGAAGATGCGCACAAAATGGTGAAAACATTTTCTCTTGGACAAGGATCAAATAATTATGTTCCAGTGGTTTTGCTGAAATGTTTTGGATGAAACAGAACCCAGATGGGACAAAGCTGTCCTCTCCCATCCATAGCATAGCATACCCCACCATCTGTTTAGTAGCCAGCCAGCCCTCCCAGCCCCTTCCCTCCCTGCCTCCGCTCACTGCTGTCGCCCTTGGCTTTCTCACCACTCCCACCCCTGACTAGTTCTGTCCAGAACAAGGCAACCACATTCCCTGCACAGAACATTAGTTGCTGCTAATAGGCTGGTTTAAATAGCTAAAGAGCTGGAGGCAACGAGAACACAGATGAAATTTGGAAATGCTCGCCCTTGCCAGTGATACCAAAAAAGACATTTTAGGAAGCTTTCCCAGCAACTGATTATGTATATATCCAAGCAATATATTAAGTCCTCTTATTTTTGCAGTTGGTGGCCACTTGGATTTGAAACAGCGAGTGCAGATTTCTTTAGTCTACTGCTTTTTTGATTTGTTAGTGCCTTAACCCTTGTGGCCATACCTTTCTTACGCTGTAAGAACTTAGTTTAACGTTGGCACTGCTCATTCTGTGATTCCCTCATGTTGGCATCCCTAGGGCTTCTGGGCTTCTAGGTCTTTGTGTAGGCCAATTGGGATAATACTCTTAACCATGGCTTATTCTTTGAATGAGGATCCAGCTGTGCACACTGGCTCCTTCATGTTCCTTTGCTTATCAGAGAGAAACCTCAAATTCCCCAGGAATTTTCCAGCAGGTAGAAATTGCTGGAAGAAGACAAGAGATCCCTCTAAAGAGACCAGAGGCAGCTATTGGCAAACTGCACTGGTTGTGAGCAGGAATCACCATGTATGATGGGACAGATTCACTATAAATGAGGGTGTCAACTGAATGTGGTATCTCCGCTTTTGGCACTCAGTTGATTTGTTCCACTTGTCAGTCTTGGACAATTGACAGCTAGTTTGGTAATGTTTGTATTCTGCAGTCAGCCATGCACCTCTTTCTGCTTTGGATTCGATCTTGTCATCAGTGGCTCTTGGGGATTATGGGTGGTGGCAGTCCTCCTTACGTAAGAAATGTCACAGCAGCATTAGGCCTAATTATATAACAATGGGTGCGCGATGAAGAATTTCAGGAGACAGAATCAACGTGAGAATAGCTGTCCTTCATATATCTTAAAGAGAGTCAAGAGTAGGAGGAATTATTTGAGAACCATGAATATAGTAATTCCAAGCGGAAGGGTTATGCCTTTGTTGTTCCAGGTCATGCAACTCCTTTTATTTGCGTTACTGTGCAGGCAAGCATGCACTGTGCGTAAGGAGACACAGCCAGTGACACAAGCACAACCATCAGCACATGGCCGTTTTCTGTGCCATTCTTAGGTGATTCACGGAAAGCAGGTGTTTCCATCCTCCTGGTACTTGTATGTTCCTTTTGTTTTTACTTTTTTTACATACAGGATTTATACCATGTGTTAAATATGCAATAAATTGTTTACAGGATGCCCTTTGGAGGGCAATGAGTCCTTTGTAAAATTGTACAGACTTTCTGGTTTAAGCACAATGTGCACAGGCTAGTTTTCTATATGGCAGGACATGATTTTTTGCAGTGGGAATTACAGATATATGGAATCAACTTTGTCCTTCGTGTAAAGCTGCTTTATAAAATTGTAAAATAAAAGTTTTTAATGTTGCATTGTCATTTGGTGTGTGTGCTAATTGTCCCTGCAAGTTCTTTTCACAATGAAAGAGTGTTATAACGAGATAAAGGAAAGTTTGGATCTGGATGCACCAACCTCGTTCAAGATTTGTTCTGACACGGCTGGATTTTGTTGGTACGGCTAAGCAGGAAGGTTGCACAGCAGAGACTGTACTGGCCATGTGTTTTGGCAAATGTATGCCCCACGTTTAACCCATCCAAGCTGTGATGTGCCCAAGACATACCCAGAGCTTACAGCCAGGTCCCTCTACTCTTGTTCCTTTCCACTCCTCCATCATACCCTATATTTCTGTCTGAGGGTTGCAGGGTGATGCCCATGGAAACCTGCGGCAATATCATGCAATGCCTAAACATCGAGTCTGAATCCTTAATTGGGGTTTATGCACATGATGCCAGCCTTACTGTCCGCCAGCCTTAACTACCTCTCAGAGATTTGGCTACAGTAGGAGCACAGAGTCACAATATTACTGTGATCTCCTTGGGGGGAAGGTGGGATAAACACGTAACCGCCACCCTGCTGGATCTGTCTAGAGGGCCATCTAGTCCAATCGGGCATTCTGGAAGCACAAGATCGGGCAAGAGAGTGATCAGCCTCTTCTCTGCCCCCTCAGAGAGCTCTCCAAGAATGCCACTTGTAGCAACCGGCCCTCAGAACTAGTAGTCTAATCTAGCATGTGTGTGTGTGTGTAAATAAATAAATAAATAGGATTAAGTAAAGCTCTGGTGCTATGACCGATGGCAGTAAATTCCAGACTTCCACTTTTCATACAGTACTTATATTTCATTTCTGAATGCCCTTGCATTCAACTTCAAGGTATTGTCCTAACTTCTAATGTGAGAGAAGGAGAAAAACCTCTGTTCACACTTATCATATCATGCTTGATGTTACATATTTCTACCATTTCTTCCCATGTGCTTTACTCCAAGCTGAAATGCTGAAAGTTCTTCTTTCCCAACACACAGTTCAGACTGGCTGTAAAATTAATTGACAAGTGAATGTGGCACTGCAGATTGGTTGCCATTTGAGTGTCAGAAACCACTTTTCATCATCTACAGGAGAAAAAAATCTTCAGCCTTGTGGGATGACAGTATGGATTTTCATTGCTTGGCAGTTTGCTAATAAGGTCTGCATGGAAAACGGAAGAGAATTTAAATAGGTTGTCAGTGATGAACTTGAACATTTGCTGCTCAATTTATAGCAAAAGGAGAATACATTTGCTATTTGTTGAGAACGATTGAGAGCTTGCATGAGCAGCTTGCAAATGTCGCTAACGTCTTAACTCCAGCTAACAAATTGGAGAGTTTTTTAAAGAGAAATTTCTTGGCTGTCTTGGTTTGGACAAATCCTGCTTCACGTGACTTGGAGTGATGGGAGTGGGGTGGGGGGAGGCATACATGAGATGCTTTTGTGAATGTGCCAAACAGATGCTTTGCAAGGATGCAGGATTTCTATTAGGATGGGAAATGGGAAGTATAGTTGTTGAGTATAGGCAAAATAATTAGGTCCAACTTGCACACCTGGCCGGTATCTGAGAAGCAATAAAGAAGGCAGGAAAGTATTAGCTTAGCTCTGTAATTGGCAGACCATAGCCAACCGTGCAGCTGGTGAGCAGTAAATGCTCAGGATTCAGTCCACGTTTTCTGATCCAGCTGATCAGAGAATGGCAGTCAAAACAGGTGAGATCTGGCCATGACGTGATTTAAGATGCCTTTTGAATCATTTCAGCCCCGCTTTCCTTAGTTGTACATGCTCACTTGTGCCTTTGTTCAAAGGTATCTGTCCTATGGCCTAAGACAAATGCCGTGGGAGAAGAGTTGATTTTAAAAACCAACTTTTACCTGACCCAGATATAATAGAACTTGAACATATGGAATATAATAAAACAGAAAAGATACTAGAACAGAAACACAAAAGAGAAATCAAGAAAAGGACTTGGACCAGGAGCAGTTGCGACAAGAAATCCTGTATGATGCCTCTTTACTGGATCTACAAAGTAGCTTGGTGAAGGATCCAAAGAATTTTTTGGAATGCAAAGATGGATGAAAGATCAAATCCTGTGACACCAGTGGAACGAATTAAAGGCCAAGATTGTGAAGCACAAAAGGAAGGAGTAAAAGGTTGGACTATCTGATCAGAGTGTTATTTGTTTGACATTTCTGGTAGCTTCTAATGGACTTTCTGCTGAAAAGTCTGAAAAGATGAAGATTTCTGGGTTGCGTATAGATAAGAGGTTATGGGAAGAAGAGTTTTTTGTTTGTAATTTTAAAAGAGAGTAAAGAGTTATGTCTGGGTTTTTTTTTCCTTTTTCTTTTCTCTAAGTAAGAACTCTAACTGTAGTTTGGAAGCAAGCACTATTTTGGGCATTATGAAATCAATAAAAGCCTAATGGCTTTTAAATGTTTGTGGAGTTTTTGAAATCAGCACCTTAAATGCAGATTAAAAGAACCTTTTTAAAAGTTATAGGCTGCTTCTTTGCCTTTCCTAAAAGGTTTGTTTTTGTGTTTCTAAAATCACTCCCTTAGATGCAGGAAAAAAGAATTATTTTAAACCATAATCGGCTACCTTTTCTAAAAGTTACACACACAGTTTGGTAAATTTTAACTGGGAAACGTGCCCACACACAGCCGCCTGTGTTTGCAAAGTTTAACTGATAACACAAATACACAATTTGAAGCAAACCTATTTTTGTGTCCTTTTTGAGAATGAACACTTCTTGCATAAGTAATTCCATGTCTATTTTTTTGAGATGCACCCCGTTAGAGGCAAAACAGTATTTGTAACTTTCTGGTAGCTTCTAATGGACTTCATACATCCTTTAACAGAATGAAATATCACTCACAGTGTCTGAATGCCTATGAAGGCATTTCCCCCCCCCCCCAGAAAACAGACGCTAGAGATGTAAGTAGATTTTATTACTACTTTTTGAGATGCAACCCAGTTAGAGGCAAAATAATATGTGTAACTTTCTCTTTTTCTTTAAAAAGAATGATGTGACTCACAATGTCTAAAAGCCTATGAAGTCAACCCTTTTTCACAGAAATAAACTTCATTAGAATTTAGATTCCTTTAAGCATTTCTACAGCAACTCTTTCTCTACCATGTCTCTGTTATTTTCCTTCAGAGTGGGATGAATCTTTGCTGTGTTGCCAACAGATGTGCAATGGGATCAGTCTGTTATGGGGGACCCCCAGCTTTCTACATCCTATGTACCTCTTTTATCCAGGTGCAAACAGCTCTCAGAAAATAGGTGATGGTGTTGCATTATTATGAATATTGCTGACATTATGTTGTTTCTGCTGTTTTATTCAGTCACCCTGCAAAAAAGCAAAAATGCAGGATCGGGATTTCCTGCCGGTTCCATAAGTGTAAGCAGCTCAGAGGAGCCCATGCCAGAACCGAAACTGGCAGATAAACAGCTATGTGATGTAACCATAAAGAACAAATCTGAGAAACATTGCTTTATTACCGCATGTCAAAAAAAGGAGTCTTGGTTTTATGAATCTCTCTGCCAAAGGTCAGTCAAGGCATTCCCTGGCAAAGAGAATCAGGACACCACTTGGTTTCATGAATCTCTCCTTGCCTTCAGAGGGATCAAAACAACAGTCTGAGCAACATCACTTTATTACCGCAAGGCACCAAATGGAGTCCAATAAGAGGAGGTGAACTAAGTGTTACTTTAGGAATCCAATCAGAGTTCACTATTGCAGTCTAGGACACTTTTTCTAGTTTGATGCAACATCATAGAACATCCTCATGTTAGCAATTTCTTTGATGCCTCTCATAGTGAAGGAAGAATTTAAGTACAATCACTAAAGTTTCAAGGTCAGTCAAACATCAATTTGAAAAAGAGCTGGTGATTCATGTTCTCCCTAGCAAGGAGAATCAGGTAAACGGCAATCTCTCTTAGTCTTCGAGTGATCCAGAGACCAAGTCTGAGCAACATCGCTTTATTAGCACATGTCTCCAAATGGAGACTACAGCAGAAGTGCAAACAAGTGGAAAGTGGAAAGACTTTAGGATTCTAATGAGAGTTTAGTATTGTTATATAAATGCAGTCTAGGACAGTTACCCAGTTTGGCCCAACATCATAGAGAACCCACATGTTAGCAATCCCTATGATGCCTATGATAGTGAACGGTGAATTGAACCATAGGCAATAAAGTTTCCATTTCAGTCAAAGACCAGCTTTGAAAAATAACTGTGGATGAGACATCCCTAGCAATATTTTCCCTAGCAACGGGAATCAGGAAAACCACTTAGTTTCATGAATATCTCTTTGCCTTCAGAATGATCAATAAATCTGAGAAAAGCTATTACCGTATGTCACAAAGTGAAGTCCGTATCACAAGTGCAAGCAAGGAAAAAGTGAACTACAGTGATTCCTTTAGCAATCCAATCAGAATTAAGAGTTGTCATCCAAATGTGGTCTATGACACTTATCTAGTTTGATGCAACGTTGTAGTGTCCTCATGTTAGCAATCCCTTTGACACCTCTTATAGTAAATGGACAATTGATGTGGAATCACTAAAGTTTCCAGGTCAGTCAAACACCAGTTTGAAAAAGAGCTGGTGATTCATGTTCTACCTAGCAAGAAGAATCAGGAAAACCACTTGGTTTCATGGCTCTCTTTCTGCTTTCAGAGTGATCAAAAGAACAAATCTGAGCAACTATGCTTTATTACCGCATGTCCCCAAACAGAGTCCATACAACAGGTGCAAATAAGGGGAAAGTGGACTACAGCGTTTCTTTTGAAATCCAATCAGAGTTCTGATTGTAATCTAGGGCTGTCAGTGACACATCTGGTTTGAAGCCACATCAAAGGGTGTCCTCATAGTGCGAACAAGGAGAAAGTGAAATACAGTGTCCCTTTAGCAATCCATTGAGAGTTCAGATTTTGCACATAAATGCAGTCTATGACACTTTAGTGTGACACAACATCATAGAGCGTCCTCATTTGCAAGCCCTATTATACTT